CAATAAATCTGTCAGTCACTGAGATGCTTTGCACTGTAGAAATCCTAAGCAGTGTATTTTCGTCTCTTTTTCTCTTGTTTATACCTCAGGGGTTTTTTTGTTCATTATTTTTTTTTCCTCCTCTTAGAATGGCAAAGTTAAATTTTTCCAATGTTCTGTTTAAGGTTGTACATCTCCAGATAATGGTGGCTGTAGTCAGATATGTTCTTCTTTAAGCCCATCCTCCTGGGAGTGTGCTTGTTTTCCTGGATATAAGCTTCAGCAAGATGGAAAGCACTGCACTGCTATAGGTCGGTATCTTGGTATGCCTGCATATTTCTGTCAATAAAAGCCAAAACATTTTAGAGTCCTTAAAAGCCGATTGCATAACTGGGATCCATCTTTGCACTGGTTTTAGGTTGCTTTGTGAAACTTGGGAAATACTAGTTGTTTGGAAAAATAGCCTATTTTGGAAATACACCAGAACAAGCAGCAGTATATTCTCTGTAGTCTCCCTCACAGAGCAGTCAGTATATTATCTAACTTCTGCATTTCACACGGGGCTCCTGTACTGAAAAATTCTATCTGCAGTATTCAAGTTTTTGTGCCTTCATATAAAGGTGAGTATAATTTCTACCCAGTGTTACAGAATTGTGTTTGAGGTGTCAATGTTTGGAGAGCAGGGCAGAGAATACTTTGTTGAAGGACTTTCCTAGAAGATTTCTCTCCCACTGGCCCCAGGAAGCCCAGGTATTTGATGTGCATGTTTAGATTCCAGACCCTTTTGTTTCTTCTGAGAAAAGAGCAGGCCCTGGTGAGTGGCAAGATACAAGAAATTGCCTGAGAGAGATGGAAACAGAAGTCTGTGATTTGTTTCAGAAAAAAAAGGAAAGATTTTTTTTTTTTTTAAGAGGGAAGCATTTTTCTTGCTTTTACTGTGAAAGGGTTCTCATGTGCAGAAGTCAAGTGTTCTGGCATTTATGGTGGTGCTGTGAAATGCAGAGAGAAGATTGTCTCAAGGTTAAGTTACTCAGTGTGAAATGCAATGGGGCCAGTGACTGCCTTTATCACAAATTTTGAGGCTGATCTTGGGCAAGAAACTGGTGCTGAAAACTTATATTCACATTTATCTTTGATTTCTGAGGCAAGTGGAATGTAGAACAAGGGCCTTTGTCGTGCTTCTGTTCCTCCTTTTGTCTTCTGCTGTTACTTGCACCATTAGCAAGGTAGTAACGCAGGCTAGAGATCACTTTGAACTCAGAGGAATGAACGTGTGCAAATTTTATCAACAGGTCCTAAGCCATTTTTGTTATTTGCAAATGGCCAAGATATCCGGCAGATCAGTTTTGATGGAACAGATTACACAAGTTTACTTGACTGGCAGATGGGGATAGTCTTAGCGCTGGACTCTGACCCAGTGGAAAATAAGGTAAGGCATTAAAAATGAGAGGATTTTGAAGTGTTGCAAGGACAAATGGATTGGGCTTTCCTTTCTGCTTAACCTTTCTGCTGCCACTGATCTGATTACACTTTGTGCTGCTCATTGTCCTGTTGCCTGTCTAGGAGCACAACTGCTATAGGAAGCCAAACACTAGTTGAAGAGTTTTATCCTTTACTTACACAGAGAATTTTGATTTCTAAATTCACGTCAGGTATGATTTTAATTTCAAAAAACTTTTGTGTGATTGATAGCCTTCTCTCTTAAGATTTCAGCACTCTTTTCTGGAAATTGTTTGGTGGTTTTTTTTTGGGGGGGGGATGGGATAGCTGTAAAAACAACAGTATTTTTTTTTTATTTTTTTTTTCCCTGTAGAACTACATCCCAGCTAAATGTAGGAGTAATCTTAAACAAGAATTACCTCCTCTGTCCTGACATTATTGAACAAAACTGCTGAATAATCCCAAGGTTTATTGCTCTTATGAAATTTATTCCTCATATTACAAGATATTGCTGCTGGGAATGGGAGTCTTCTCAGTGTAAAGAGGAAAAACCTGTTTGTCTATGTTGCTGCATCCCAGTGCCCTAGTTCTTGCCTACAGAGTTTTGACGAGTAGGAGTGCAACTGTGCTTTGCTAAACCTTCTGTGGCAGACAGTTATTTTTTTCCCATGGTGAAACTTATTTACACTGTAAAAGTGTTACAAAAGGATACTGGATGGTACAGTGGAAGCTGGTGAGGTTCTCAGTTAAGTTGCTGGAAACATCTCGAGGCCTGGATGGCTGCAGCTTAACAAATGTGAATGTTACCAGATCTGTTTTACTGAAGGATCCTTTCAGGTGTGCATTCTCCTCTGCTTGTGTACGGACCTCTGCAGAGTGGTGGGAGGTGAGGTGACCTGCAGTGGGCCAGCCAGGCTGCAGCAGTCTGGTCCTGGTGGCACAGAGCTGAGGTGCAAGGTAGGTTAGCTCAGCATCGCTCTGTGCTCCCATGGTAACTATATTGGCTGGTTTAATGCTAGAGGTCTCCCTCCTGCTTTGTTTGGCCTCATGGTAGCATCAAAACAAAATTATTTGTTTTGTTGTTACCCTTTGCAAAGACAGCCCCAGCATTGCTTTGCATGTGGTTCTGCCATACAATGTTTGGCTCTCTCTGGGTATCAAATACAAGGTCATTTTTTTTCCCTCATCCTTGGAAAACACAAACCTGTTTTCCCCATCAGCAGAGAACCTTCATTTTGACCCCAAACCCGCAAGCCTCTTCTGGTAATGTTTGACCCTTACAGAACAGAAACCTGTTCAAAAAATTAAGATTACTTTTTCTTCCTCAGCTGTGCTTCATGTGAGGTATCTGCTTGCAAGAAAAAAACCCCACAAGGATATTCAGAGGGCTGTATATAGGGCAACCAGGATTTATGGCTAAGCACAAGCTGCCTGTAGAAGTCATCCTGGTTGAAGGATAAGTGCCTTTTTATTTGATCAGGGATCACAGGTTACTTGTGCAGCTCTTTGTGAATAAGCAGTTCAGGCAACTTTCAAGATGAAGAAGTTATTTTAGAAGTGGAACTATTAGACAAGGGAAATAGAGCGGAAAGTGAAACAAGAACTAATAACACCTCATCTGTTATTTCTTCACAGATTTACTTTGCCCACACTGCATTGAAATGGATAGAACGAGCTGATCTGGATGGTTCAAATCGTGAAAAAGTTATTCATGAAGCTATAGATATACCCGAAGGCCTTGCTGTGGATTGGATTAACCGCAAATTGTATTGGACAGACAGAGGGTACATGCTCCACAGTGCATTTATGTTGAAGCATGCCATAAAATATTTGGAATAAATGACTGGTGACACAGAAATAGCCGAGATATCGTTCCAAATTCAGTAACGCTTCACATTCTGATTGGGTAGCTGTAATCTCAAGTATATACAGTTGGAAGGTTCTTCAAAACTGAAATGCTGGAAGTTCACTTTGAGTCTGGTATTGTGTTTTTATCTTTGTCTTTACAAGAAGGAAGGGTTTGGACTTGGTTGCAAGGAATCTTAAGCATGTACTGCATACATACATATATACCTATGTGCACATGTGCATGTGAATATAGATGTATACACTCTTATTTATATCCATATGCTGCATGTGTGTATAAATAGGTACATCTTTATATATACACATGTATATATGTGCATATATATAAAAATAATGAGTATTACTACACCAAGTACATCTTGGGCAGCAGTCAACATTGTTGACAGCTAGAATCATGTTCCTTTAAGCTAATGGAAAGTCTTTGTGAATTATCTCTGATAAAAGAGAGATGGCCACTGGCAGAGAATATGATTTCACATTTCAGCTGATCCTTAACAATTTGTGGAGATAAACAAAAATGGCCTTTGATGAAAAGTCATGTCAGATCAGAGCTTATAATGAAGACTCCTTAAGAGTGCTCGCTATGTATCAGTATGATTCATAATTTGTCAAAAAAAAAAAACCAAACAAACGGGTTTGGAAGTCCGGATCACCCTCCTTCTCCCTGTTAAATACACTGCTAGTCCACTTCCTTGCTACTGGGTACACTCTTGTCTACATGATTGTGCTCCTGTATAAATACGCCAGCGTTTCTTTTGAAATGGGAAATTATGGTGCTCATCTCTGTAAGACAAGAGTCGAGGGTGAGGCTGTGAATCTTTATCTGCCACTTCCTTCTCACACCATGCCTTTACCTGTACATATTCCACATTTGCATGAATATATTTCTTCTCCCATCTTTGTGTGGCCTTCCTTTGCTGGTTCAGGTAGACGTGGAAGGCTGTAGTCTTGTTTTCAGGTAGAGGCTTATATTACTTTGGCAAGGTGAAGTTTGTAGCAATAAGTAGAGTTTTCTGGAAAAAAATTGTATTCGGAGACTGGCAATGTAGATCCCACACTTGACCCTGTCATAGATTTTATGAGTGATCATAATGACGTTAGCTTCATTCTTTCCTGTAAAATAGATATGTGTGTCAAATGCCTGGCAGTTTCTGGATGAAAAATCCAGATGGATGAAAAATGCTATGTAAAAGTGCCATTTAAAAATTTCTTTATACATTTGATAATGACATTCTGTTGGAAGCTTGTTCTCCTCCTGACTCCCTTTTAAACTAACATTTACCTATTATCGATCATACATCCAACTCATTATTTGCCAAAAAAAAGGAGAATTTCATGTCTCCTGCAGAGCAGCAGATATTTTATCATCATGTTCTGGACCAGATAATGAAGCTGTAACATGAATTACTTGTTGATAAAACAACTAGACATCCCACATCACCAGGATTATTCCCTGTCATTGTAAAGTTATTTATTACATTTTTGTGCTAAAGTAAAGCAATGCAAAACTTACCATGTTCTGCCTGAGAAGGTAATTAAAAAGGTAACAGGGAGGACCTAACAGTGAGTGCTGTGTATGTTGCAGGAAGGCATGCATTGAAAGGAGCAATCTGAATGGAATGCAGAGAAAAATGGTCGTCTGGGAGGATATCTCCCAGCCCCGAGGGATTGTCGTTCATCCGTTTGCTAAGTAAGGAGTGATAAACGTGGTTAATTGTATAATTCTCAGGGAGGCTTTTTAAAAAGAAACATGCCAGCATTGTCCTTTTGGCAATGAAACAGTGCACTAGTCTCATGTTAGGATAGTCACTGCTTTGAAGAGCTGTGTGAACTGCAATGTTTTATTGCTGGGTTTCTTTTGTGAGTAGGGACGTTGTTCATTTCTCACATAGATTTACAAAAAAATACCAGAAGCATTAGAGGTATTGCATGTAGTTTAAGCTGAAGAAAAGCACGAGCAGCCAAAGTTACCCTGGCATCTGTAAGCACCACACTACAAACTTGGATAGTTCCATATCTATTAGTGTGAAGAAGGTAGTCACTTTTAGCCTTTGGTGCTTAAAAAGTTGTTTGGTTTTTTTTTTTTTTTTTTGACCATGTCTCGATTTCTGAAAAAACTAAATCAAATTTACTGTTGTGGAGATTCATTGATTAAAGTCTTGGTGAAATTCTGGCTATTTTAATCAATGCCAAAGCCCCGTGTATTTCAGTCAATATGCCTGTAGCAAGATTATTTAATTATTTCTTTAAAAAATTTCTTTTTTTTTTAATGCCCACATCCTGCTATAACTAAGTATTCATATTCATGATTGAAGAAATGAAACTGAGTTGGGAGGGTGTTTCGTTAGATTCACTTTGGACATAAAAGATCTGAAAGAGTCTTTCAGTAGAGGTTGAACTCAATAGAGACATTTTGCAAGAAAACTTTTAAGAACAGATAAGTTCAGGAAGATTTTTTAATAAGAATTACTGATACAGGCGAAGGCTACAAGGGAGAAGGAGAAGGAAACAGCACTAAATCCATCCCTGTTAGAAAGTTAATGGTGAGAGAAAGGACTTTATAGCAAGGTCCATAACTTTAAAGTCAGCATTACAGAGGGGTCTGAGACACAATTAGGGCTGTTGAAAATACTGATGCCTGCACTGGCTACAGAAAAATTGCTCATATTAATAAAACTAGGTGAATCTGTGGGTTATTTCAGTAAACCTGACAAAGGCAGCTAGTTTCTGGGGAGACTGAGGTCCAAACTTCAGAAGTAATATGTGCTTTTGGCTATACCCATTTTGAGCTACCATCTAGCACTGTCTGTTCATTGAAAAACAGTGTGCACTAGGTGAGTGACACTCAGGACTCAAGGGGGAAATTGAGAATCATCATTTTATTAAAAGAAAAAAAGATTCTGGGCCTGATATTGGTTTATTTTTAAAAAATGAAATAACCTGAGTACTCTTGCTTGCTTTCCAAGGGTGGTGGCTAGTTTTGGTTCCATTTGTGCATTGTTACACTCTTGTTTAGACAAGGAGCTGGCTAATGCATCATCTTCTGTTGTCTGGGCTTGCTAAACCACTATTGACGGTCACGTGGAAAATACAAAAAAGCAGATATGAAGAGCTGGCAATTAGCATAGGTGGGAGAAGTTTTTAAAAGGTTTTGTGTCAACGAAGAGAGAGGGGATTCTGCATAAGTCCCATCATATTCCATATGTTGCTATAAGCCAACATATGGAGCCTTATAGCAATTCTGTAAAGATCATCAGCCAGTATATTTGCTTGAGGTGTGCACCTGTTCTCATGTGCCTCAGGTCTTTATTGCTCTGATCTGATCTTTCTGCTCTGAAAGGACTCCATGGAGAGGAGGACAAACATTTACTTACTGACTTCCTGTATGCATTTTGTTTTCTGAAGGAGACTATTCTGGACTGACATGGGGGTCAATCCCCGGATTGACAGCTCTTCATTAGAAGGCATCGATCGCCAGGTTATAGCCAGCACTGGTCTGGTGTGGCCCAGTGGAATAGCCCTCGACTACTTATCCGACAGGGTGTACTGGTGTGATGCTAAGCAGTCAGTGCTTGAGAGCGCAAACCTGGATGGCTCTGGTCGTCGAATTCTTGCACAGAATGATGTAGGTGAGGCTTTGGGGTTGATAATTACCTGCTGCTGCTTGTCAATGCATGTGTGTATCTGCATATGTGCATGTGGCTGTGCTCTATACCCCACACAATTCTATGTTGAGGCTAATGGCATCATCTAACTCTGCATTCTGTTACCCAGTTGGCTTTTATTTATTCATTTTTGGAAAAGAACACCTTTCTAACACTCATTGCTTTCACTAATCAGCTACTTTGCATCGTAAAGAGAATATCTCTGTCTTCACAGAAAAATTAAAGAAGGAAAAAGTTTAAAATGTGATTTGCTTGCTGCATTCATGGCTGCTTCGTGTAATTTGGTTTTACTGTGTTTATTGTACCAATGAGTAATATTGATGTAAGCTGGAAGAGGATTAATCTTTCCCATTAAGGTCTTTAAGCAATGAATCTGCATCTGCACAGTGTTGAATACTGGGTTGATTCTAAATACCCAAGAGACAGAGAATGAAAACACGACTTATGCAATATGCTAGTAGTAGTTATGGCTGAGATTTCTATTGTTTGATAAATAACTGTATTCTGGAGCAAAAGAACAAAAGTTCCCTTTGTGTATGATATCTCTTTGGGGACCATTTTGTAGGTGTGCATACAAAACATGGACAGAATGAGGTCTCTTGGCTCCATACCATGACTGTCATGGGTAAAGACTTTATGGTTATTGTTAAGAAGCTGATATTCTAGTCTGTGCTCTGGAAAGGCTTGTGTTCATCTCCCAGGTGAGATGCCCTCCAACTGGTTTGAAGGTGAGCAAAATGAGGTCTTGGAGAGAGCAGTGTTCTCTAGTTTGTAAGACATCAAAAGCCCTGAGCAGGGAGACTTCCCAGCATTCCTTCCTTTTGCTCTCCTGTGCATGTTCTTCTGAACGCCCCACCATGCAGCTGATCTGCAAAGGAGGACCTTGAAACCTGTTGGAATTTTCACTTTGTTTCTCCACAAGGAATGAGAAAGTATTTTATGGGAAGAAAATAGAATGAGAGGAGATAGGGGAAAAACACTGGGTGGTAGGCTTGGAGCAGTAATATGCCTGTTTGGAGATGGGAGAAAAGGACATGAACACCTGTATGGCAGGAAGTGAAAGAGGTGATGTGCAGACTTGTAGGGTTATGAACTTAGACAGGCAGAAAGACTTGATATTCTGCTGTTTGGCTAATGCTTTCAGTGAGAGCAGAATTCAGGCTCTATTCTTGGACATCTGTACACTGGAGGATGGGAAGGTGTTCTGCACCAACGTGAATTTTTATTACAGCAGCTCCCTCTAGTGCCTTTGTACTGAGACTTCATTCAGTGTAGCTGCATGCAAAATAGGTAAAACTATTTCTGCTCTTCTGCTAACCCCATTTTCAGCTGTAAATAAACCAGCCTGTAAGCACCCACCCAAGGCAGTGAGCAACACAAACCTTACTTTTGTCTATGCAACAGGCCAGGTTTGCGCTGTTGTGGAAAGGGTTCATGTGGCTATTCATTTTTCTGTTCCTGCTATCTCCACTGATGACACCACACTTCTATTTTTAATCCTTAATGCATTTATAAGTGAAGAGCTTAAGGAACTGCTGGTCAAAATGGGGAGTTTGTTGATAGCAAAAGTTATCAGATCTCAAATTGTGAGCAAATATTTGGATGGGAGCAGTACCGAGATCCTGGGCTAACTGCTCAAATTTAATTTAAAGAAAAACTAAAAACCGTACCCAATGATTAAGCACGGTTCCGCAGAGACAATAAAGTGCTGACAGAATAACAATATGCCCTTCAACTTAACACATAAGAAAACTTAGTGTCTTAGAAGTTTCCTTATGTAGGTGTGGGATTTTTTCAGTTTATTTGTAATGTGTATTTAAGATATTCCAACACATACTCCTTCTCCAAGGTTCTAATTCACTTGTTGTTTTGCCTCCTTGGCTTTGATTTACATTTTTTATCTTTTAAACTAATACTCCATGGGACCACATTTTCATTACTGAAATGAAACATCACCTATTTGAGGTCTACATCAAAAAAAACCAAAAGCACAGATCATAAAATCGTGTGCCTAGAAAGCGTACCTTTCAGAGGGGCTCGGACTACAGTGGTACTAAGTAAGGTGCATATTCAGACTGTGAGTAAGGACAGGACAAAGCAAACCTGCTTCAGCTAGGAAGCACTCTACTCTGAGATTGGGTGGGAAACCAGGACATCCATGGAAGAACAGTAAGTGCTCTCACCTGCCATAGCAAAAATCTTACCCAAAGGCTATTTTGAAAGCAGGAGATTTCTAAATGTATAGAAAGAATGCATAGTCCCATATGGACAATTTTCTATCATGACAGAGATACCAAAAAGAGTCAGAATCATGTTGCAAAGATCTTAATATCTGTAATTATGTCTGCCCTGATATATGAAAGTGTCCATTGGATTTGGAATTGCTGAGCTTCTCTCTGGCAGTCAGACCAGGGATCTGAGTTTTCCTAGAGCAGGTAATGTTGTGCTAGCAAGGAAAAATTGCTGTACTCTGAACTTGGGATGGGATTTCTCTCACCTACTGTTAGTCATGTAAGTGTTAGGTGCCTGGTCTAAGCTGGTGTCAAGGTTCCTGTTGTAATCAGTGAAAAGAGAAGAAGCTACCTGGATGATCTATTGCATCCTGTGGTTTGTGTTAGCTCTTACTGTTGGTGAGCTGGCTAACAGACAGTGACTAATTAGTCACAGCCTGCTGCTGCTAGCTGGCTGAAGTGAAGAAAATTAATTCCCCTCCTGCATCTTGCACTGTGATGAATTGGCTAGTGAACGACCGCATGTGGAGCTGATGCTCTTAAAGTCTTTTCCAACCTAAACAATTCTATGATTCAATGATTCTATGTTTATATGTACACGTGGACCACTGTATTGCACTTGTGTGTACTTTTGGCACTCGCAGAGACCACACACTGGCTTTGGGATCCTACCACGGGTCAGTGGTTATAGTATTTGTAGCTCCCAGGCTGCTTTGTGCTGGTACACTTATGCAGGACAAGACATTTCAAGAGCTCCTTGTCTCCCTCTTATGTGAAGATTGCAAAAGGAGCCGTGTACCTGGGCAGCCCTGTGTTGGGCCTCTCACTGGTAAAGGAGGGAGGCACTACACTTCTGGAAGGCTTGTCTCAATGCTGCTTCAAGAAATGATGATGTCTGAGGTAAAAACATCTTATGAACTTGATCTGGTTGGAGGTCACCACCGGTTTAGAGACTATACTGAGCTATGTGAATGTCACAGTTTCCTCTGCTAAGAGCATAAGTAACATGTGCCCATGGTCCATCATGCATGAACACTTATCTCTCCCCATGAGACAATGAAATGGAGAAGTGGCTGTAATTATGCCACTGTGTTGGAAGGAGACCTGTATGCAGATAGTGCTTTTGTTTACATAGTTTCTTTTGTATGTTCTACAGCTGTGGAAATGAGAAATCTAATTTCTTTGTAGGCCACCCGTTTGATGTAGCAGTGTTTGAGGATCACCTTTGGTTTTCTGACTGGGCTAGGCCATCACTAATGAGGGTGGACAAGAAGACCGGCCAAAACAGGGTACGTCTTCGAGGCAGCATGCTGAGACCCTCATCAGTGGTTGTAGTTCATCCTTTGGCGAAACCAGGTATACTGCAAAAATTAAGCAGCGTTCCCTTCCAGCTTCCTCCTGTTCACTGACATCAGTAGAATAGATGTCCCTGGGGAGAGGATTATCTCCTCAGAAACAGGCTCTTTGAAAGGCCTTGCATAGTCAGACTGGCATTTATTGAAAGCACCATCTGGGCATGTGTCCCAGGAATGCTAAAAGATTTTGTATATTTATGATCATGCCCAAGAATAGATGCTGATCAATTGCCACGAGGCTACCATAGTCCTCTAATTCCTATTTATCCTAATTTATTAGCACCCTTTACACACACAAATAATAATGAATGACATGGAGAAAGATTTTGTAAGATTTATTAGTTTTGGATCAAATAAGTTGATTTTCTGTTGGGAACCATCTCTCTGTAAGCAGAGAAAAGTAATTCAATAGGCCAGGATTGAGAGAAGGTAATCAGAGATTCCTTATGCCCTTGCAATGTTCCTTCAGGGAATGTTAGTACTCTAAATTTTAGAAGATAAATAATAAAGGAAATTTTTTTTACAAGTGTTATATTTATTGCAGAGTATGTGAATCTGCTTTCCTGCCAGAGGTTAGGTGATAATATCTATACTTTACTATATGTGTCTGTTTTTAATTTAAAAAAAAAGAAAAAAGCTCTAGTTTTTTGTCAGTCCTTATTCCTTTTCCAACTGCTTCAACTCTGTACAGCTAAAAGGAGATATTGACTGAAAAAGCAGCTTGTTAAGTTGCCTATTTCTCTGCATTAGGGGCAAATCCTTGCCTTTATGAGAATGGAGGCTGTGATCAGATCTGTGAAAATAATTTTGGAGTTGCCCGATGCATGTGCCATCCAGGATTTGTGAAAACTCAAGATGGAAGCACCTGCCGTGCTCTGGATTCTTCCAACATAACAGCAGGTAAAATCCTCCCCTTCGAAAAAATACCCTCCCCAAACCCTCGAGGGTCCTGACAGATAGCACCTTGCTCTACATAGCAAATGATGGTTTCTCTGAAGAATGAAAACAATGGGGAGTTGTCCTGGGACAACAATGTGTTGTCTGACCATTGTTGGCACACTAGTGGTGGGAGAGATGTGTGCAGTGCAGAGAAGCATTGTGAGCAATGACTTGCGTTCCTTGTCTTTTGTATTTGAAAAAACTTACCAGTGAGTGGTTTTAGGCCAGAAACAGGGTAGTCTGGGAGGATGCTTACATTTGTTTTAAAAGCAAACCACCATGATTACTAGAAGGTAGGCAAGTGATAGAAAATCAGGAAGTTAGTTCAGTAGATTTAAAGAGCCTGTGTCTCTTTTTTCTTGTCTTTCAGGCAGTGTCTCAGTGCACAAGGAGGTAGCACTGATGCCAATACCAGAGACCTTGCTCCAGAGCACACAAAGCAGTGGGATATTAAAGGACATGGACAGTGGGAAAAAACAGAAAATCAGTGTTTTGTTGATGGCTGAAATCATGGTATCAGGTAGAGTCAGATGATTGTCTTCCTTCTATTTACTGTGAGGCTCTGAACAGGTTTATAGATCAGAAAAAAATCATAGACCTGAAAAGAAGAGGCTCAGTGTCAAGACTTGTGGCATTCATGCTCTTGACCCCCTTACAAAAAGTTGGGTCTGTGCAGTTATGCCAGGTGGGACTACTTTTTCATTTGTTTTTCTTCATCTTCCTTTCCTATGTCAAGAAAACTTGACAATATTGCCCAGGTCTAGAGAGCAAACATTTTAATTTGGAGCATTTGTGAAAGACTCTCCCTTAGATTTTACAAGTATATGAAGTTTCTCTGAACAAACCTGTAGTAAAAACATTAAATTCTACATGTGTTGCATGACACTAGCTCATTAAATTGTACAATAGGGTTTGCATGCAATATTAAGAAAACCTGATACTGAATGACACCTCAGCTCCATCTGGAAAATACAATATCCCTAGTAATTGTATTGGCTTGTCATCATTAGCCCTGGAGAGCTATGTTTCAAAATTTGACTATATGTTCTGATTTTCTTGTTAGCTTTTTTGTTGGTTGGTGGTGTGTGTTTTTTTATACAGTACCTCCTCTGATCTGTCCAAATGCATCTAGTGGGTTTGTGTTTGTTTGTTTTATTTATGCTGTAGATCAAGATGACTGCACTGCACTAGAATGTGATGTCAATGCACAGTGTGTTTTGCTGGAAGATGGTGCTATGTGCCAGTGTTTGAAAGGATTTGCCAGGAAGGGGAAATCATGCTATGGTAATAAAAGACATTAATACAACCTTCTGGAAAATTGTAGATTGGGGAAGAGGAAGAAAATCTATCTTTTCTCACACTGGCGGCTCCGCTGTGTGAGCCGTCATAGAAAGGTCAATAGTATTGCTTGTTTTGAAAGGGAGGATGAGCAGAGAGCATGTGAGCTGGAATGGCTAATTATCACATGCCTTAATTTTCCCCGGAGTCCTAAGTGTTAATCCTATTAATATTAGCAAGCAATAATAGGGATAACAGGAATAAAAGCATAATGTATTTGTAAAAATTATAAAAGCTCAGTCCATAGACGTGATAGTTGATAAATAATTTAGAAGTATGTGTTAAGGATTCTCTTAAAAATTAGCATTCCTGAAGTAATGCTCATATAAAAGTGCTGCTCTTATTTCTGTATAGCACTAGAAAGAGACTCTAACAATCAGACAACACATTGCTCAGAGCAATCAGTAAGTTTTTGGACTTGAGTACTTTAGTAGAACATAAATGGAAGTATTTTGTTCTTTCATAAAGGCCAAGACAGGAAGGTATTACAAAAATTTACCATGTGGTGGTTAAGCATGAAGACTCACAGGAGTCTATATTGCTATAGAAAGGAAAAAAAGAATTAGAAGGTAGAATGGGTTTGAATATTTTTTTTTATTCATTGTAGTACCTTTTTTTGTAAGCCAATCTGTTCTTTTTCAGAACAGTCTTTCTCCAAGTAGAGTCTAAGAGTATAACGCTAGTTTTGAACAGCATCATTCCCTTCAAAGAGGATTATTTTGTTTTGTTTTGTTTTTTTTATGCTAGTGGTGGTTTTGGAACCTCTAGGTCTCTAGTTAAAAAAAGCTGGTTGACTGTCTTAGGCTTTTTAGAACATCCCCATCAAATTTCATTCCAAGAAAAGACCACAAAGCCCTTCTCTGCCCATCTGCTTCAGATGCACAAATGACAAATGACAGCATAGTCTGAGGGAGATTCGTGATGCAGACCTTTCTTTTTATTGATTTGCCTGATGGTTTCATGACCCACGTGTCCTGTCTCCTCATTTTGTCTCACAGATGTTGATGAGTGTGCTCTAAATATGGACCACTGTAATCGAAACGTGTCAAGCTGTATCAACACAGAAGGGGGCTACGTCTGCAAATGCCTGCAGGGCTACACTGGAGATGGAGTCCACTGCTATGGTATGGGCATGTGTGAGGGCTGTGCTGTGTCTGGAAAGCTGGGGCAGAATTCATGAGCAAGAGACATGTCATATGATTTGGGCTAGCCATGCATCAAGCTTTAAAGCTGTCAAATGAGCTGTTCTGGTTCTTTTTGAGAAATCTCGTTGGGCCAGGGATTCTAAGTGTCTCCTCCAGACAGTTGACATTTATAACTTCTTTTTTCATTCTTTCCTTCCTGTTTGAAGTGTGGTAACCTCAGCAACTGATCAATATGCAAAGCCTGTAGTTGTCAGTGAATACCTCCTCTCAGTGTTTGCACTCTTTTTAGTAGCTACAGCAGGAGAGAGAGGAAGAGTGAAAGGGAGGAGGGAAGTGGAGGTGAAGGAGTAGAGCTTTATTGGAAATCGTTGCCATGAATATAAACGAAAGCAGGTATTGAGTGTGTCATAATACTCATCAAATAATTCCAGGTCTGTTTAATAGGCATGAGGTTCAAGGTGTTGACACTGACAACTTGAGTACATTTAGAGTCTTGTTAATAATCAGACCCACTGATTTTCCCATCCAGCTTTAATGCCAGGTCTTTAGTTCATTCCCTATATTTCTTAATTTTTTAAAATCCATTTTAACAGTAAACGTGAAGGAACAGGAAGCTTCCCCCTCCCCACCCCAGTATTTGACTAGCGCACAGTTTGTTCAGAGCTTTATTAGAGTCTTGGCTTCTCTTTTGTCCTTGTCTTCTTTTTTCCTTTATAACCTAAGGCAAAACCCATTACATTTGACCCAATTCATATATAGTCTTCACTGGACTTTAGTTCTTCGAAACAGACAAGGATGACTGAAAAATCAAGAATAATATCATTACTTTGGGCAGGGCATGAAAAGTATGAGGCAGTAGGTTCAAGAAGGCATTCTGCCTACAGCTCTTAGAGATGCAGAGCTCTTGTCTTTGAGGGTATTCGGAAGTGTGGATAGAAGCGACAAGGTCCTCTTGCTGTCCCATCACCACCTACAGAACATGTCCCAAGGCAGCCTTGGGCTTTCACTGTCTGTGGTACAGTTGCTTGGCTACAATGATCACGGTACCTACCTCTGTTACTGAAAAACAGTCCAACATCTTCCTGAAGTCTTTAAGCCCATAATATGTTAAGATCTGTTTTCACAGCATTTTATAAATGGTGCAATGTTGTTATGATGTGAACAGAATTGAAACTAATGTTGTGTTTGATGACTTGAAACGTACTACAAAAAGCACTTAGGCTGGACCAAGTGGGTGGTACAGCAGTGGGCAAGTCTCCGTTCCCAAACCCTTCTGCTGTTTTAATTCAAGAATGGCAACTGACAGTACTCTAGTACTCATCCAGGGTACAAGCTATGGCTAGCAATGCCAGGAGAATATGTCTAGTACAAATAAGTCTTCTCTTCAGCTCATCATGTTTCATGGGAACCTTTCCTTCCTTCTCCCTAGGGAGAGCTTCTGCAGTCTCTGAGAGGCAGGAGAGGCTGTGATTACTTGGCATGGAAAGTATGTTGGTTGCTTTTCCATGAAAGCATATCTGTAGAGGGAAAGTCTTTGGTGCTTTTCTCCACTACCAGGAGACTGCAATGTTGCAACTACTGCACTTTTAACCGGTGCTCTGAGGCATTTCGTTCTTCTAACTACAGACTGTTTGGGTGACAGATATTGACGAGTGCAAGATGGGGTCCCACACCTGCGGAGAGAACATGACCTGCACAAATACAGAAGGAAATTTCACTTGCTCATGTGCTGGTGATGCTTATGGAACTGGCATCGGTTGTGGTGAGTAAATGGAGTGAGCACCTAAAATGAAGTGTCTCCTAACTGAGAACTGTGCTCTTGTATAAATAATTATAGCTGGAAATTAAGGAAACTCTATGCAATGACATACTGGGCAACATGTGGATCTTTTTAACATTGCTTTAGGAGGCTGTTTTGACATGGGCTAAGGTGACCAGATCCAAATTTAGTTTGGGAACACCTACAGTAAGGTTCAGTGCAATTTTTGACTGTCTAGATGTAATGACACATCTATCTAATGGCCTTTAGAAGAAGAAGTAAATGCTCCTTGGAGGTAACATTTTTTGGATGTGATTTCAGTCTGTGTCATTTTTTCAATTTTTTTGTGCAGAATACCAGAACTGCAGATAACTTACGTCCCCCCAGGCAAGTCTTTCAGATGCAGGGCTAATTTTTCAAAATGTCTCTGAAACTCTTTAGAAAATCTGGTTACTGACTGAATGAAGGGAGCTGCTGAAGGTTCAGCACTAGTGACTGACCCTCATCTCAGTGCCTCGGTGTGACAGCAGCATTCTCTGAAAACGCAGAGCTGAGTGACATGTCATCTTACTCTGGGTCAGCCTTCTTCATTGGGGTGAATTTTACTCCAGATCAAGTGACTGTCTGAGGGAAGGGCACTATCACAGATATATTTCTAGAGAAAACTTATGGTGTTTTAAAGTAGAACACTTATTAGGATCCCCACCCTCTTTTCAGTTACTTAAGCTTCCAGTAGTTTCACCTGTCACTCAGGAAATGATGATCTTAAATGATGCATGACTTAGGAGTAATGCCTTCTAGGTCCCTCAGCTGTAAGTCTGATCCCATGTCTTCATGGGTATTACACACTGTTTTAGTTCTTTGCCTAATAAGCTCTTTTAGGAAGCTGCAATTTTCTGTACAGAATGCAGTCACAGCTGGAGTTCACTAAAGCCACTCATTCCTTTCCATTCAGACTCTTTGCTGTGGCAGTTCTCCTGCAAATGAAATTTTTTAAAATAAATGTCACTGAAGGTCATGTGTCAATAAAACTGGTGTGAGTCATAAAACTGTTCTCATAAATGTATAAGAGTGATTAGGTGCATTTTTGCTAAGCCATACTGCTTGTCACACGGATGTTCAGTTCTGACCTGTAGATTTGCTGTAGCATCAAACTGGGCAAGAAAGTGCTGTTTTTCTGTAAGGGTGCGTGCATTGTGGGTCATGATGTGCAGAGATATTAGAGCTACCTTTGAAACTAGGTTTGGGTATCTATGTAGGTGACAGTGTGTGTGACAGAGCAGGCTACAGAACCCTTTGAAAAACTGGGTCAGTAGAGTTCCCTCATTCTCCAGTGATGTTGTTATCTGGACCTGAGCTAGCCTGAAGCAATACAAAAATATGATCTGCAGTCACACACAGATGGCATCAACTGGATGGCAGCAGAGGAGAAATAATCTGCATAACAATAACAAGTGGCATGTGAAAACTTCTCAGTCTGGGATCCAGGTGTGTGAAATACAGTCATCCTTCACCTGTACATCTGGCACTCTGACTCTGGCTTTTTATGTATGGTAGAGATTTATCATACCCTGAAGCTGCATAAGTCACAAAAATCATTTAAGTGTAAGTACCAGACAGCTGGTGCAGTTTTTCTTCAGAGCTGTACTTGCACATCTAAATAGACATAAAGCAGCCAACCTCTATGGGCCTTTCATTGCAAGCCTAGTAGAATCAAACATATTTAATGTTCTGAGCTTAAGTTCTGTGTGGCTGAATTTGATAAGCAACCTAAGCAAACAGACAAAACACAAGCAATTAGTCAAAATTAAGGATTATTGCTTACTTTCCTATCCTGAATTTCTGGAAGTCTTTCTTAAGATCACATTGCCAATGCTACTGGAAGTTTGACATCTCCCTGTGAAATCCTGTGTTTCAGAATCTACTGCGTCCCCCACTGTTGTCAGCAATGAATACTCTACACACCCTGTGCAAGGTGACATTGTAGGATGTCCTCCTTTTTATGAGTCGTACTGCCTCCATGGTGGAGTGTGCAATTATGTTTCTGATCTACAAGACTATGCCTGCAAGTAAGTACAGAAGTTTGTATTGACCATGCTGGTGAATGGTATCCTTGGCACTCAGCTGAGTGCAGACAGTGAAGTGTTTGTCCATAAATTATCTGTTCATCACTCATAACAGCAATTATCATTAGACTCTGCTCTTTTCCGTAGATGATCACTCTATTCACATCCAACGCAATTAATAGGCTTGAATTTGTTCCCTAAGCACTTGATTCTTTGCTTTGGAAATGTGAGATAAGTTGTTAAATGACTTAGTGCTCCTGGCTTTATGAAAGAGGTGCTTGCCCTCTCTCCTGTACATATTGTGCTGACTTGTACCTCCCTGTTAGCCTTGCTGTTCATGTGTAGCACTCGCTGGGATTGAAGAAGATACTTCAGTCTTATCTTCTCTGATTGGGAAGAGGGAGGAGAAGTCTGGTGTCAGCATTTTCCCTTACAGTTTGAAGAGTCTTGGTCCCTGGCAGAAAGGCTACAACATGATGGTACTCTTAAAAACAGGAAGACTAGCAATGAGACCTCAAAAATAAGGCCTCCTTCCTCCTTTTGAAATTTTTGTGAAGCCCAATTCCTGGTTCCCCAAATGCAGTTACTTCTAAAAGTGAGGAGAATCTCATCTGTCCAGAAGTTAGCCTTAGCCTGGAGAATGTGACAGCCTAGTCCCATGGGGTAATAATTTCTTCAAAGCCGTTAGAGCTGGCGTTTACTTGTGTAAAGTATATTTGATTCTTCAAAATCAAGCATTAAAATGTCTACAGTGGGACAAATCCAATGTCTGCCTCCTTCCCTGGAGTTTCACCTGGTAAGTGAGGACCTGTGCAGCAGAGTGCAGTTTTGTAGCAGGCAAATCTCCCTCTGTGTTTCAGTAATGTGGGTGGCCCTGGTACAGCCCTGGAGTGAGGAGAAAAAGCTTTGTGTTGAAGGGTTTCTTTGACCCATCATTCCCCTAGATCTTTCTTGCACTGCACTGCAGGAACTTCTATACAAGGCCATTCTTGCATGCATTGTTAAATCCTAGGCTTCCTTATTGTTAAATATGTGTGTGGTCTCACCTGCCTAAAGACCCCTGTGCCTTCAGGAATAGGGAA